TGGGAGGGACCCAGGTCATCCAAAGCAGTCAATACTGAAGGGATTCTCGGGGAGACCCACAGTCACTGGCCCGGGCAGACTCACAGCACAAAGAGGTCCTCCTCACAAGGGTTGTAGTCTTCTTCTACTTCCTGGGAATATAATAGCATCTGCCTGTTGGGGAAGAGACCACCATCAGACGGGTGCCCAGCCACCCACCAGTGGCCAAGCATCTGCAGTGGGCCACACCCTCCTGGAAGCAGCACTGATCAAAGCAGGCCTCCATCCTGGGGCAAGGAGAGGAGGGACAGGAAAGGATGCACAGGACGTGGACTCAAAGCTCCAGGGTCTATGGCTAGTTCTGCCCCTGGAAACCTCACGTAAGTGGTAATCCTTCCTCTGTCCATCAAATGGGGATGACAGTGATCCCATTTAACTCACAGGTAACCAAATTACTGAGAACTACACGAGATAATGCATAAGCAAGTTTCAAATACAGTGATCCATACAGTATAGATGCTCAATAAATGGTGGTTCCAAACATAAACAAGGTCATTTGGGGAGATTTTGGAAGCTAGTATAATTGTCCCTAGGCTTCCGAGTTTCCAAAGCCAGTCAGAGAGAAATCATGTATCTGCCCCTTTCCTATAAGGGCTACATGCAGGGATCCCCTTCATTTCTATCTCCCAGGCAGCATGCATCCTGGCAGGAATGCACTAGGAGGGAAGGTGTGAGATTCACAGAGACTCCAGGGAGATCCTAAGAAGGGCGGAACCCCCAGGCCACCCAGCCCTCCTTCTCAAGTGTGGTGCTGGCCCAGCTGCATCCACAGGCACAGCCCGCCTCCGCCCCTACCTCTGCTCATTAAGCCGCCGGTACTTTTCCCTGTCAGCACTGTTGATCTTCAGCAGGGGCTGCAGGTGGCCGTGGTGTGTCTTCACATTTTGGTTGTCCACATAAACATCGTATAGCTCCCGCTTCTCTTCAAATATCTTCTCTGTGGTGCCTGCGGAACCCCAGGCTAAGCAGGTGGAAACCCTGCAGGGTCACCGAGGGAACCAGCCCTACCCCACTGGAGAAGCAAGGAGGCAGGGAGGAAGAGAGGGACTGGGACACAGGGGAAGCATGAGAGGAGGTCCCCATACTCACAGGCCACATAGGACACCTCTACCTCCAGGCTCTCGATGTCAGCCACGTTCACATAGAAGAAGGGCTTGGACTCAGGAATGGTGCCCCCGATGCCAGGCAGAGAGACATTGGCCAGGCAACAGCAGCAGTACACTGGAGGATGGAGGAGGTGAGAAGAGTTCGCCCCCCATGTCCCTCTTCCACCGAAGCCTGCTGGACAACACCTTCTCTGAACTGTAGCCCAAGAGGAAGCTGTTATGGATTAGATGTGGTCTGTCCCAGCCAAACACATGTGGAGGCTTGGTTGCAAGGTATCAGTACCAAGAGGTGGTGGGGCCTCTAAGAGGGAATCCTCTCATGGGAGCTTCACCCCCATGAAGGCATTAATGTAGTTCCCAAGGCAGTGGGTTAGTTATCTCCAGAGCATTTGGTCATAAAGTGAGCCTGGAACTTCTCTCTCCTGTGCTTCTCTTCCATGTATACCCACTTCCACTCGTCTACCATGAGACCCTCACCAGAAACTAGGCAGATGCCAGCACCATATTCTTGGCCTTCCAGAACCACGAACCAAAATAAACCTCTTTCTGTATGAATTAACCAGCCCCAGGCATTCTGCTTTAGCAACAGGAAGTGGAGTAACACAGGAACTATGAAGGGCTTTGTTCTCTGCTAGCCTGGTTCATCTTAACCAGGTGGTCCTGGCATTCTGAGGAGACTGAGGGCAAGTCTCCCACAGTAGAACCTGACTTCTTCAAGGTCACACAAGCAATGTCTTACCAAATCCAACACACACACTTTGCACTCTTTCTGTCCCTGTTGACCTTCCCCCTTCTCAAGACTTTGACCTACTGTAACCCTTTCATTCCCAGCCCCCCCCCCTTCTTCTGACACTTCCATCTCCCCTGGAACATCTTCCACAATTGTCAATCCACCTCCTGTGCCTGGCATGCTGCTGTTCACACATTCTCCCCAGTGATGCCCCATCCCCTGGTTATCAGGACAGCCCTTACAACACTCTCAAATCACCATCTCCAGCCCAGCTTTCCCCCAGAGGTTCTGAACCCACTACTCAAGTGCCTGGCATACATCTCCCCCGAAAAGACTCACAGGAAGAACACCTTCATTGTGTCCAAGTTAACCCTGCCCAACCAACCTCCCGCCATGCTTTCTGGGTTTTGGTGGCTCCACCTCCCTGTCATCACAGACTCTTCCTGTTATGCCCTCCCATACACCAGGACCTTTACAACCTAATCAGGCAAGTTTTATCAAGTTTATCTTATATACATCTAGAATCCATCTTTTCTGCCTTCCCACATTTCTCTCTTGAAAGGCCACTGATGTGTCACCCAGTGCATGCTCTTTGTTGCTGCCAGGTTCCATATGAATCAAGTCAGGCCACTGCCAGTCTCAAAACTCCCCTGATATGGGCCAGACTCTTCAAATTTGATCAACAAGAGAGAGACTCCAGCAGTCTATGTTTTGGGAACTTAGGGAGAACCCTGACTTTGGCTTCAGTTACCTCTATAGCATACAACGCCCACAGGAGGGGGAGAAAATATCAAAATGCGCTTTCGAAGTAAGGCAAATTTCCAGAGGATGAGGATTTGCTCGCCAAAGAACTTAATAAACTGAGACATGCAGCCAGCTGGGTGTGTAATCTGAAAAAATAAAAAGGGGCAGAGGAGAAAAAGGAAGAGCTGGTCAGAAATACTGTGAAGAATTTCCAATGCTGACTCCAAAACTCCAAAGTCCAAGCAAACAATAACAGATGGTTATTCCTGCACAAAATATTTGTCACTTTAAAAGTCTTATCTTTAAACTGAATTTCTATAGTATGTCTATTCTGCTGATATGTTGACGTTTAAGGATCACTAATTACTCAGGAGAAAGTATGGAGGAAACAAAGCTGAATTTGACTTCCTAAAAGTCAAAAATAACAGTATCTCTGAAGAGAAAATAAGCCTCAGTGAGAAAATTCAATTCAAAATATTAATTAAGTACCATAATAAAATAATGAGCACATAGTCCCAGATTAGAGCCCCCAGCATCAGGTGGCCTGCTATTGTGCAAAGCAAGGGGTCTACAGGGGGCACAGGCAGGGGGAACCCCAGGGTCACTTGCTGGGAACCCTCAGGGCCCTTCCTTTTCATGTGAATTGCAGACAGCCTGCATCCAGGAGTATCGGAGAGGTGAAGAGGATAAGCTCTGCCCCCAGGAAGGCTGAATCCAGTCCCAGTTCTCCCATTCACTAACGGGGAGGCCTGGACAGAGCAGCTCACTTTTATTTTTTCTTTTTTTTAAATTTTTTTTTTATTTTTTAATTTTTTTCTCTTTAGTTATACACAATAGTAGAATCTATTTTAACATAATCATATAAGCATGGAATATATCTTGTTCTAATCAGATCCCATTACCTCTCCTTCCTTTTCCCTCTCCCCAACCCCGTTCCCTTCCTTCTATTGCTCTTTCTGCAATTTACCCATATTTATTTATTTATTTAAATTAAATTCTTATAGCTCACTTACCTAGTTCACTTTCCTACTTTGTAAAACAGGGAGGCCATCACCTACCTCGAATGGCCATAAGGACCACCTGAGGCAAAACATTAAATACTTAGCAACTAGGAATGGCCCATATACAGGGACCACTAGGTCATTTACAGAACAGAAAGTTCAAACCAGGTGCCCGTGAGCCTTCCAGCAGGTTATTTCCATGCCTAAGTGTCAGATGGAAGAGCCATCATTTCCCACTAGTGATGCAGGAAAGAGCAGTCCTGAAGAAAGGCAGCCCTATCAAAGCTGTGGGCTGGGTTTAAGGACTGAGAGCCCTTGGAAAGGGCCAAACCAAATACCTGAGCCCTGAGAAGGCTTCTGTGCTCTGCCAGCCAAGACCAGAGCTGTCCTTGGCCCTCCAAGACTGCACCTAGATGACTGGGATGGGCATTTCCCTTTCCAAGGCACTGACCATTCACTTGCCACAGGCTGTGGCGAAAGGCTGCCCTCCACTGAGTATGCTCTATCTGTGTCCTACCTACTCCTCTGCCAGCACATCCAAACCACCAAGAGGAAAGGCACCAAGTGTGGTCAGCACCCTCCCCACCACCTTTCACCCAGTCATACAGCAACAGACAGGAAGGGAGCTGAAGCACAGCCCATCCTCCCCACCTTCCCTCCCTCCGGCTTCTCCAAGCCCTTAACGTGCTTCCACTCAGGAAGGCCTGGCCAGGCTTGCACCAGTGTGTCCTGCATCAGAGAGTCCACAAACCAATGAGCCTTAATCAATTCTTATCTCGTTTATTTGTTTACTCAAGAACACAGGTTTGCATTTTAAGAGAAATCTAAGTGCTTACTACTGCCTCACTCATGAGAGTCAGCTGAAGAGACCTCATACCCCTCATTGACCCTGTTCAAAAGCATGAGACAGACTTGTCTCCTGCTCAATTTAAATGTTTCCCTTTTTTCACCCTCACTCCTCTGTGGCTTTCACAGAGAATTCTCTTTGCATAATGCCTACAATTTCAGTTTTTATGTTTTCCCTCCAATCTTCCAAGCCAGAACCCCATCCTCTTCTTACTCCCTATCCATTGCTGGCAAACCCTGGGGTTCCATCTTCAACATCCTATGCCCTCCACTTGGGGATCCATTTGCTCCTGGAGCTGCATCCTGCCCTCATCCCTCCACTGCCCTATGGTACAGTGAACAGCCACTCACTGGACCGCTCCAGAGGCTTCCATCCTCTTCCTCCATTCTAGGTTCTTATTTTTATTTTCTTCCACAACAGTCTTACATCTGATTCCTATTTTTAAAAATCACTTAAAATTTTTTTATACATGAGTACACATTGTAAAGATTCATCAAACTATATACTTAGAATTTTTAACTTGTTCCCATAAATGTTATATTTCAGTAAAATGCTTATAGACAAATTTCTATATTCATATATATACATATATTTGACATATATACAAATATATACACACATATATATGTACATATATGTGTGTGATTTTCCATAAATGAAGAATGGAATCATATCAGTTTTCCCTCTTTATCTGTGGAGGACCAGCTCCATGGCCCCTCACAGATGCCAAAATCTGTAGATGTGCAATACCTTATAAAATGGAATAGGATCTGCATATATCTTCCTGTATACTTTAAAGTATTTCTGGGCTACTTATAATACCTAAGAGAATGTAAATACTATGTGATATTTGTTGTACTGCATTATTTACAGAATGACAAAAAGTCTCTATGTGTTTAGTACAGATGCAGTTTTCAAAAAAATATTTTCAATCTGCAGTGCTCAAATCTGTGGATATAGAACCACAGACACAAAGGGCTGACTGTAGAGCACTTTTTTAGGGCTGCCATCTCCTCCTGGCTCTTTTCTTTTTTATATACCTAAGGATTACCCTCTTCTCCCCTCCATGCTTTACCTCACCCCAGGTCATATATGAATTAATAACATGGTATACAACCATCCATAGTTCTCCATGCTCAGGGATGCACATATCTGTATCTATACCTAAGTCTATCAATATTTTTAAAATTGATTATATCATCCATAGTTTTCTGCCCCTTGCTAGTCTCAAACAAATAGGCCATCCCAATCAGCATCTCATACTCTAATTCATTATCTACAATAACTATTTACTATATGGGCATTCTAGTTTTCTACCACCCTGAGCAGTGTTGAATTAAACATGTTTACACATACATCATTCAGGTGGGTTTACAGCTAGAGGACACCTTGAGAAGTGAACTACTGAAAAAAAAGCACATGTATTTTTAATTTTAATATGCTGACATTATTTTTTTTATAAGAAGACATCTGTAATCTATGAAAGTACTCTTTTCTCTGCAGTTCCTTGGATCTTTTTTTTTTTTAAGAGAGAGAGAGAATTTTTTTTAATATTTATTTTTTTTAGTTTTTGGCAGACACAACATCTTTGTTTGTATGTGGTGCTGAGGATCGAACCCGGGACGCACGCATGCCAGGCGAGCGCTTGAGCCACCCCCAGCCCAGTTCCTTGGATCTTAACTGGTATGTTAATGAGCTGCCCTCAATAGGGCTAAAGCATATGGCAATTTTCTCTTTTCTCCCTTTATCCCTCCTTCTTGGCCTCTTGGGAAGAGGAATCTAGGAACATTCAGGTCAGATGTTGGTCACTTCCCCATGGCTTTGGAACTAGCCCACCAGCAATTTCCCTCAGAAGAAACAGAATTAGGGGCAGGGTGCAGATCAAGACAAGCCCAGAATGCCCCTGATCACCCTCAGACCATTTCTGTCTCTCAGCCCATGTCATAGGACTGAGAAGTCTGAAAACTCCATTTACTGGACCCCCAGTAAACGGGAGGGAGGGAGGGAGGGAGGAAGGAAGGAAGGAACGAAGGAAGGAAGGAAGGAGTTCTCTGCAGCAGAAAAAGACACCTGACTCCAGCTTCCAACATTTCTGAGCACTCTCATGCCCCTGAGAGGTGAAGAATCAGGAGTACAGTGCTACCCTCAGAGATCTAACTATGGGCTGTGCTGAGGCCCCTCCTCCAAGCTCCCACAGTTCTCATAAAGACACCCCCTCCCCTTTGTTGCTCCAGCACCTGTGGATCCATCCTGTTGGTATTTATAGCCTTATGCAATTCCCTGTTCCCCTGGAGTAACTTGCTTCTAATCAAACGAATATGGCTATATGGCAGGTTGTCACTTCCATGATTAGGTTACAAAGGATTCTGACATCTATATTGCTAACCAACCCTTTCTTGCTGGTTTTGATGAAGCAAGCTGCCATACGGAGAAATCCCATAACTAAGAACAGCCAGCAAGTACTGAGGACTTCAGTTCAATATCCCCAAAGAAATCTAATCCTACCAATACCCACACGAGCTTAGAAGTGGCTAATTTTCTTGTTGAACCTTCTAATGACACCCCAATACAAGCTGACACCTCAACTGCAGTATCACAAAAGACAATGAAGGAGAAGACCCAGTCAAGTCATGCCTGGATTCCTGACTCACAGACACGGTAAGGTAATAAATAAGTACTCTTCAAGTTTTACTCTTGAGTAATTTATTATGCAGCAATCTATGAGTAATAGGTATTACATAGCAAAGGGAAGATGCTGTTCTCCAAGAACTCTGCTTAAGGACCATGCCCTGCTGCTTTGAAATGGAAAAAATGGAACTTTTCCAAACATCATGAAGCCCAATCAATGTTGTAGGAGGCAGAGGCTCAACACCAGCCCTGGCTTTGACTGTGCATTGAAAGCCCAGATATAAAAGACAGGCTCATCTTCCATGGTGAGGACCAGCTTCAGTCCCACCTATTCCTTTGGGCTTCCAACTCCTGTTTACTGATTCCCTATATTGAATTAGTTTGAAATACTTAATGTGGTCTCTGCTTTCCTGATAAGACCCTAACTGTTACTTTTTAGGGTTCAAATTCCATGGCCTACTATTTAAAGTTTTCCCAATCTGAATCCAGTCTATCTTTCCAGCCTTTTCTCTTATGACCAGGTGACATAAAAATTTAATCCCGACAAGTTTGCTCATACCCATGAGCTTGTCTTGTGTTTTCCCATATCCACATCTTCGCAAAGGCAGTGAAATAGGGTAGACTGAGCACTGGCTTCAGCACATGTCCTATGTAAACATAAGTCCTGCACTATCTCCTACTAACTGTAAGGCCTAAAGAAAATCATGGAACCTTTTTGAGCCTTGATTGCTTTAGGTGGAAAACAGGGATTAAAAAAATAATCATAAAGATATACTGCACCTATTAAAAAACAAAATAAGGAGTACTGTGACAGGTACAGATAAAAAGCCAGCATAATGTTTTGTTCACAAAACCTGCTGAGACAATGGTAGACCATGGCTCACTGTCGCTCATGCCTTTCTCTCAGTCTGGAATTAGCATCCCTCACTTTCCACTTAGACAAATGCTTCAGGGGCCAACTTCTCTTCCAAGATGGCTTCTCTCTTAAACTCATGTATAATTCTTGTAAGAGGGGAGCTCTAGGTTTCAACTGAACTGTCTTGTGATCAACCACAAAGGAGGCAAAAGGAAGATAAAGGAGATTCATGTTCTTAGTCATCTCTGTAAACTTTAAACACCTAACATTTTGTATTTTGTTGACTATAAACAATATATATTCTAGAACTGAAAGCAAAGTGCTACAGGAAAAACAGAAAATATTAAAAATATTGTAACTAAAAAACATACCTGTTTATCAAACTTTTCATTTTCAGTCACGTCTGGCATTATAGTATCTGATGCAACCAACAGAATCCAATCCATTTTCTCCCTCCTAGGAGCCCAGCGTGACTGGCATGTCTATCACACTTGGCTTTGCATTATGAGAACTGTCCGGAAGGCATAGTGATTAAGATAACTTGCCTTAGGTTTTAAGTGAACCCAAAAGCTATGTTATAACCAATTGTATCAAAAGCAGACTTTCTGCATGAGCCCAAGACACCAATTCCTTATTAATTAAAAATTAATCTACAACAACTGTTCCCAGACCCACATCCAGGATGGTGTGAGAGTGTGGCAGCCTCACCTTCATCTCAGGGTACATGTAGCGGTGGATGGAGGGCAGCCAGTAGACAGGGGGCAGGTTGCTGCCTCTCCCAGGACCAGCGTGGAGCACCCCTTTCTTGTCCTCATAAAATGCAGCCAGGTGAGAGTAATGTCCTGGCGTCTCCAGCTGGTGCCTGCACGACACACACAAATGTGCACAGTGAGAACAGCTCTGGCTGTGGCATGCAGCTCAACCCGTGCCTCCAGGGTTAAAGGCAAGGGGACACTCAGAAAATCTGCACTTTGAGGTTGCCTTGAGGCCTCCCTTGGTGTGACAGAAGATCCTAGGAAAAAGCTCACACAAGGAGCCTGAGCCACCCTGAGAGCAACATGTAAAGCCTTCTCTTTCTCGTGGGAAACAAATTAACAGGCTTTGGCTAACATCTATTGTTCTTGAGCAAAATATGCTAAAGATTGTGTGCTGCTTCCCAGAGGATGGCTGTCCACTGTGAGGACGGATAACCTGGAAGATCACAAATTCCCTGCTTAAAATTGCTCTTTGTTTACACTTCATGCTTGCTTGCTCTCATTGTTCTTATAAAAGAGCAGGGAGAAGCTTCTCCTTCAGTGTCCCAAGTAAGGGAAAGCAGTTATTACTGGGTATCACTGAGGGCTTAAAAATTCACATCAAGTAATAAAGAAATACAACATGCCAGAATCTCTTCTCCTCCCACCCTGGTCTTCTCCTTTACTCAGGTCAGATACCCTGTTAACAGACCCCCAAATCCAAGAAAGTTGAGGCAGTAGATCATCTGGAATGCAGAATGCTGCCTCCCAAGTTAAAGCACTTTGTTCACGGGGAATATTCGTGGTTGAAATTTGTCCTCCAAGAAAAAATATGCTGGGATCCTAATCCCCAGTCTCTCAGGAGGTGGCCTTCTTTAGATAGGGCTTTTACAGAGGTAACCAAGCTACAAGTTCATCAGAGTGATCCCTAATCCAGTAAGACTTCTAGAAAGGGGAACTCTGAATACACACTTGGGCACACACACCAGCACCTAAGGATGAGGGAGAGAGGCAGGTGCCGCACTCACATGCCCAGGAGACCAACATCTGCCAACAAAACCAGTAGCCAGAGGGGAGGCATGGAACAGATTCTCACAGGGAACCAACCCTACAGACTGTTGCTCTAGCCACCCAGTTTCTGATACTTTGTTGTACATTCCCAGCAAACCAATACAGAAAGGAATAAGAGGACCTCAACCCCTTTTAGCACATTTTTATTTTCTTGGTATCTTATTTCCATGTAATCATGAAAAAGAAACACAATACAGCTCCACTAAGTGAGAGAGGCATTCCTAATTAGGTTGACCCTGGAATAACAGTAATTAAGAACAGGCAATACCCACTGCCCCTCCACACACCAACCTGCCACATGACTCACTCCAAACTAAAACAAACTCATCAAAGATTTCCACTGAACAAATGATAGGCCAGCTATTCTTCTACCCTCCACTCCAGAGTGACTTATAGCACTCAATATCAAGGTGATGGTTGAGATACTTTCAGGCACCTTTGTCTAATATAAGATAACTGAAGTTATGTGGGTTAGACTCTGTGTCCTCTATTCTGTACCACTGGTCTACAGGTCTATTTTGGTGCCAATACTATGCTGTTTTTGTTACTATTGCTCTGTAGTATAGTTTTAGGTCAGGAATAGTAATACCACCAGCTTCATTCTTCTTGCTAAGGATTGCTTTGGCTATGCTGGGTCTCTTATTTTTCTAGACAAAGTTCATGATTGCTTTTTCTATTTCTATAAAGAAAACCATTGGGATTTTGATTGGGATTGCATTGAATCTAGTGCTTTTGGTAGTATGGTCATTTGACAATATTAATTCTGTCTATCCAAGAACAAGGGAGATCTTTCCATCTTCTAAGGTCTTCTTTAATTTCTTTCTTTAGCATGTTGTAGTTTTCGTTATAGAGGTCTTTCACCTCTTTTGTTAAATATTCCCAAGCATATATATACATTTTTTTTTTGAGGCTATTGCAAATGGGGTGGTTTTCCTAGTTTCACTTTCAGCAGATTTGTCACTGGTGTACAGAAATGGCTTTGATTTATGGGTGTTGATTTTATATCCAGCTACTTTGCTGAATTCATCTATTTGTTCTAGGAGACTTCTGGTGGCATGTTTTGGGTCTTTTAGGTATAACATCATATCACAAATAGCGATAATTTGAGTTCTTCTTTTCCTATCAATATCCCTTTAACTTCTTTTGTCTGTCTAATTGCTCTGGCTAGAGTTTCAAAACTATGCTAAAATAGGAGTGGTGACAGAGGGCATCCCTGTCTTATTCCAGTTTTTAGAGGGAATCCTTTCAATTTTTCTCCATTTAGAATGATGTTGGCTGGGAGTTTAGCATAGATAGCATTTACAATGTTGAGGTTCCTGTTATTTCTATTTTTTCTAGTGTTTTGAACATGAAGGGATGCTGTATTTTATCAAATGCTTTCTCAGCATCTATTGAGATGATCATATGATTTTTATCTTTGAGTCTATTGATGTGATTAATTACATTTATTGATTTCCATATGTTGAACTAACCTTGCATTCCTGAGATGAACCCTACTTGATCATGATGCACTATCTTTTTGATGTTTTTGTATTCAATTTGCAAGAATTTTATTGAGAATTTTTACATCTATATTCATTAGAAATATTGGTCTGAAGTTCTCTTTTTTAATATTTATTTTTTAAGTTGTAGTTGTACACAACACCCTCATTGCATCTATTTTTATGTGGTGCTGAGGATCGAACCAAGGGCCCGGCATATACTAGGCAAATGCTCCACCCATGAGCCACAACTCCAACCCCTGAAGTTTTCTTTCTTTGATGTGTCTTTGTCTGGTTTGGGAGTCAGGGTAATATTGGTCCCATAGAATGTGTTTCAAAATGCTCCCTCCTTTTCTATTTCATGAAATAGTTTGAGAAGTACTGGTATTAGTTCTTCTTTAAAGGTCTTGTAGAACTCAATTGTGTGTCCATCCAGTCCTGGGCTTTTTCTTGGTTGGTGGGCTTCAGGAAAATTTGTATTTAAAAAAAAAATAATATCACTATATTAAAAAATAATTGCTAAAATGAGTTCCTCTGGGAAATAGCTAATTTTGTGGGTTCCTATACATTTTGTTTTAAGCTTTGCACTAGCCAGGTGATACAATAATGACTAGGAGGTGCTTCTAATAATTTCTGACACTCTTACAAATGTTCTTGGAGTAGACAGAAAATCCATGGTGGCAAAGTTGTGTCTAATTATTCTGAAAGGATGGCAGTTTTCAGTTATTCCTCAAGGATTTGTGTGAAGTTGCTGAAAGTTCAACTAATAGAAAATTACAGACAACTAATAAGTTCAAAGGTGTTTTCATTAGAACCCATTTTCCCTAAAAATAACACCAAGAATCTGTATGTTTTGATCTAAAAGGGGTGGTATCAAGGGTAATTTATTTATTTATATGTGTATGTGTATAAATCATATATATTTATGTTATATACATATGTGTATATGTGTATATGCATATAACATAAATATATATAAAACATAATTTATATTTATGCATGTATAAACAAATTATATATATTATATACAAGTGTGTGTGTGTGTGTGTGTGTGTGTGTGTGTGTAATTGGCAGTTCCTGGATTTAACAACTATTGTATGAAAGCCTCAAAATGTAAATACACTGAAGGTTTTACAACAAACAATACAAGATAAACCAAAAACTATAAGTAAGGCTGAGAGTGCTTCAAGACAAATTGATCTTCAACAGATGTAAAAGAACATCCTCCTGGTGCGCTTACATATTAGAATGCTAATATTAAGAAAGTTCCACACTGAAATCCATGCCAAGCAATCTGCGGAAAGCATCCAAGAGACACCACATGGTAAAAACTAGTAATAACTGGCTCAATATATGCTACAGAGCTGAAACCACGGGATTCTGAACCAGATTAAAGATTCTTCTGAAGGACCAGAGACACTGGGGTTCTCTTTAAGTTCACATCCACTTCACTGATAAATCTCAGGCAGGTGCGACTATGCAGATGCCCAATGCACCAACCTGCCTTTCCTAATGCATCCTGCAACAATTCATACTGTGGAGAAACCCGAGATGCCTCTGTGCAGCGACTGCACTTCATCACTCTGGTGTGTTCCTTATGGATCTGAACAAGTCTGCCTTCTGGCTTTGCAAGTACAGAAAGACAGGCATTTCCATTACTGTTGGTGCAGGGACCAAATGGTACCACCTTTCTGTAGGCTAAATTATAATTTGCATCAAATTATATACTGTGTATGTGTGCACGCTCTGACTCAATGATTCCATTTCTAGGAAGGTGGCCTAAAGAAGTATGCATGGATATGAATGATCATTTACTCACAGGATGCTCATGTCTATGAGTTGTGAAAAACAAGAAACCTAAAATCCCAATAACAGTGAAATAGTTAAACTGTGATTTATCTCTGTATATTGACATACTGTGAAACCACCAAAATAATGCTGAGAACTACCAATCATAATTCAGTGAAAGGTTAACAAACCAAGTTACAAAACTTAAATATTCAACATCAGAATCCTTTTTTTAAAAAAGTACTGTATGTGTATATATTTATACATGTGGAAAAGATAACAAAATGTTAACAGCAGATATACCTGAAAGCATGATCTTTTTCCTTTAGGCTTTTCTCTATTTTTTCAAGTTTTCTACAATAACTATAGTATATGTTAATTTTATATTTAGTGTTCTAAAATTTTTCATTATGGAAACTTTTAAAAATACAGACACACAAATGGAAAGGAGAATAATGAGCCCCATGTATCCATTGCTCAGCTTCAATAGTTACCAATATTTGAGCAACATGGTTACATCTATTCCCTATACCCTACCACTAATACTTTTCTTTTTCCTGAAATGTCTCAAAAAAAAAAAAAAAATCCCACATAACATTTTACCCACAGATATAAAGTATAATTAAAAATTAACTGATAAAGTATAATTAAAAATTAACATAATATACAATCACCATGCCATTATCTCATCTAACAAAATTAAATAATACCTTAATGTATACTAATAACCACTTTATATTCAAATTACAACAACTATCCCCAAAATGACATTTTATAGTTGCTTTGTTTAAATCAAGATCTAAACATTAGGTCCAAAAATATGGTCATGTGTCTTAGTTCCCTTTTATTCTAATTTTTTAAATTAGAAAATAGTTACTTGCTGTCTTTTGATTAATAAGAAATAATAATAGAACTCCAATTAGATATTGAAGGCAAGAGTTGTAGATGAAACACTAATAAGTTTGGGACATCAGAAGTCTGAAAAAATATGCAACACAGGTTAGGTATTGCAGAATCAACTCTAGTTAAATTTAGTGACAGCCACAAGGAAATTTACCCTTGCCTAGACTTAATTCAGTTTTCCTCATGCTCTGTCACACAAGTCTCTTCTTTCATGTTGCCTTTAGTCTTCTTTAATCACTAGGTTGGAAAACCTTGCTAGCTATGACTCCAAATCTAGCAGTCATAAAAAGAAAAAAAATATATCAACACAAGAAAAAAGTGATAAAAAACAAATGAAAGTGGGAAAATATTTTCAATTTATATCACAAAGAGAAAATTTCCCTATTATACAGCAAACTCCTAGAAATTAATAAGGTCAAGAACAACAATAAAATGTAGCAAAGGCTAGAAACAGCTGACAGAAAAGAAAATGCAAATGACTTATAGGTGCTCAACCTCACTTATAAGAAGAAAAATACTTATAAAAACTACGCTGGGGTATTATTTCAATCCATCAGAATGCCAAAAAATTCAAAACTTTAATTTTTGTATTGGCAATGATGGGATGGAACAGGCATTCTCCTACATTACTACTGGGCATGGGAAAGTGTTCCACTTATATGGAATGCAATTTGACAAGATTTCTTAAAATCATAAATACATACACCACTTAAACTACTAATTTCATTTCTGGAAATTTAATGTATAGATATGTCACTCATGCAAACTGATGCTTGTTCACAGGTATTCAGTGTGATATCAGTTGTAATAGCAAAAGATGAAACAACCAAATGCCTATCAGGAGTAAACTTGATAAATAAAGTGCCGTTCTTCTATACAGGTCATATAATACAGCTGTGAAAAACAACAAAGAAGTTCTCAAGGTACTGGTGTGAGAAGATCTCCCATACTGTTGAATGAAAAAAGTGAGGTACAAACATGTTACCTTTTGTGTGAAAAGGAACAAAATAAGCATTCACATTTGTATTTGTTTATATCCTCATACAAACTTGGGAAGACACATGAGAAATGAACAGTGATTGCTGGGATTGTTGAATAGATGTGGGAACTAGGTGAAGACTTTTCATCGTGCGTCAGGGATGGAAATTGCTGCTCTACTCCTCTTTTAATAAAACCTTCCAAACTTCAGTGATCATATGGACACCCAGCTACACACTACTTTTCCCAGACTCCCTTTCTGCTAGGTGTGGCCAGTCACCAAGAACTGGCCAATGGAGTATGAGCAGAAGTGAGGTGTTCAAGTTCTGGGACTTCAGCATCATTCGTCCTTCTCCTGGTGGAACATGATATGATAATGTGAGTCAGTGTCTACCCTGTGGATGAAGACATTGCTCTAGGGGATGGCATAAGAGAATGACTTATATCCCAGAAGAACCAGTGCAATAGAGCCACCACCCCATACTAGATGGCTTCTCTTCCTCTGGGAGAAAAGCTGAAATTTCTACCTCATGGTAGAAAAGCTGAAATTCTATCTTGTTTTCAGTGCTTTGTGTCTCCTCTTTATTATAGTAACTTAGCCTGAATTTTAGCCAAAGCAGAAGTTATGGACCTTAAAATGAGATACTACAGTATCAATAATTTGGAGCCTCATGGAGCTGGAAAAGCAAATTCTTCTCTACCTAAATTCTTCTCTCCCAGTGCTTAAATGAAATTCTTTAGTTAAGTATTCTTGGACAGACATGGAAGTCAGTCTACTTGAAAGATCAAATAAAGGGTACAGCTTACAAATATTTGCTGAAATGAGGAGGAAAGGGATGGTCAGAAATAGATACCAGTAACTAATTTAGACCCCACTGACTTAAAAACCTTGTCCCAAAAGAGATCTTTGGAGTGGAGACCTGGGACAGACTGGAAGTCATGAGAATCTATTTCGTTTTTGAGAGGCATGTAGTGCCACATGTCTGGCCTATAAAAACCTAGGGCTTCTCAACTCCTGAAAAGACCATTAGACCCCCAAACCTGCACCAGTAAGAAATGTATTCTGGAGCATTTGAATACATGCAAGGACATGTCCTCCAGTGATGGCTTCAGATGGGGCTAAAAGGCCAGGCCAGGAGCCATAGAGAACTATAGACAAGGCGCTGTTCTACCCGGCAGCACCAAGATTCAGCCAAGAGCTCAATGTTCTGCAGGACAAGGACTATGTACAATCCCTGCTCAACAGAATTTCATCACTGCAATGGATTAATGACTGTTTGTATTTCTCATCCCTCACTTTTCCAGGTAAGAACTTGCACAGTGGCTCCTACTTCACCTTCTATGTTGCATTGGGGAGGTGGGGAATGGAAGCAATTCTCTATAGTTTTATAGGTTTTCAAGGTAAGAAGGACCAGGCCCTGATCTAATGAAGGACTGATGTGTATCCACACAGAAATCTTGAATTTTAGGTTAGAGGCATCACCTAGACACTGATTCTTTTTGGTGAGGGAGAAATGGCTTCTATTTGGGAAGAAGAGTGCACGTGGATATATGGATAGCCAAAGGGGAAAACTAAAGCAGAAGCCGCTAATTATTTTCTCAAAGTCTATTCTTTCTGTTTATAATCAAAGCTCAAGAATGTAAAGTGGTCACAGAGTCACACACCTATACTTTTCCCAGTCTATGTTGCTGATAGGTGTATCTTTGTGATTGAGAACTTGATAATAGATGTGACAGGTGATGTATAAACTTCTCTTCTTTCCCTCCTTCCTGTGGGCTGAAATGCAGGTGTATTAGTGGTGAGCAGCTTTGAAAACTCAGACAATACCTTAGAATACAAAAAAAAAAAAAAAAAAAAATTCACTATTAGGATGGTGGTGGCATAATGAGAGAGGGGAAGTGGGTCCCTGCACAACTGTATGGAACACAGCAGGTCACCCATCTTGACTACCTGCCTATGTCAACTACTGTGTGAGATAAAAATTTCTATCTTAATTGAGTCATTGTATTTTTGAGCCTCAGCTATTACTGTTCAGCCAGGACCCTTACTAGCATAATATCTTCTTATAATTTTAGGTTTCTGAGCTGTAAGAATATTGCCTAGGGCTGGGGATGTGGCACAAGTGGTAGCGCGCTTGCCTAGCATTTGTGAGGCACTGGGTTCGATTCTCAGCACCACATAAAAATAAAATAAAAGATATTGTGTCCACCTAAAGAAAAAAAAGAATATATTGCCTATTTGTGATATTAATTTTTAAAAAAGAAATAACTTCCTAAAGGTTTCAGGATACCCATAAAAAAATGTTCCTTTTTAAAAACTCCATAATATTACTTCTTTTTAAAATTTTTTTTTTTTTTTGTAGTTACAGATGGACAGCATACCTTTGTTTATTTTTATATGGTGCTAAAAATCAAACCCAGTGCCTCACATGTGCTAGGCAAGCACTCTGCCACTGAGCTACAGTCTCAGCCATTATAATACTTCTGAGACATAAAATTGAGGAAATATTGCAAACACATGAGAAAAAAAAGATGCAGAGATGTTCACCATTACAGCTCAGCTCCAGAATATAGAGAAGCAGTGAGAAGAAAAAAGAAAGAAAGAGAGAGAGAAAGAAAGAAAGAACAAGAAACATGCTAAATGCTCAACCATAGGGAATAACCGTATACACTTCAGGACAGATCCAGCTTTTCTGATCTTTACAAGTGAAACTATGTTTAACATATTTCATCAAAATTACCTATTTGAAAAAGTAAATCGTCAGATTAATAAGCTATTAATCCTATCTTTGCAAAGTATTTCCACTCTAAAATGATATTCACTGATACTGACAATGGATCTTTGAATGTTAATATTTGAGAGGAATTTTTTGATTATTTTGTATTTTAAATATTAAAATAATAAACATACTTTTTCACAAATAATAAATTTCATGTTGTTTCAAGATAGGTATTTCTTAAAATTTTTTAAATAATGATAAATTCTAAAGGAATGGCCTACAAAAGTTTTTATACAGGATGATGCCAAGTATTTTCTTTAAGTATAAAAACATATATCAGAAAAGAGGCAAATATGCTAAAATTTTAACAGTGATTTTAGGATTAGAGATAGATTTCCCCTCATAATCTGAAAGGTTATTTGCATAATTAAAAAAAAAAGGTAACTAATAGTTTTGCTGCTTCTGTTAAAAATTCTCCTTCCATGACCCCAAATAGTAAATAATTATACATATAAGAAGTTTAAAGTCTGCCTGACTACTGGGTCAAAGACCTAATTATTGTGTCTTAGGGTAAACAAAGATCACGTACATTTCAACAAATTATTTAACTACGTGCGACGAGAGCATTAGTATAAACTGAAAGCAAACTCACCCAGCACTCATTACACCGTGAAGGACTATTTTACAAGACGTTGGCGGAAAGAAAAAGACCACCCCACGCCTCCTGGAAGGGCACCTGTGGTTCTGGCACAACTTCCATCTCCAGGGACTGCTCTCATGCGCCAGCTGGCAGGCCCTGTTGCCACCCCACATCTGTATGGAAGCCACGTACCGAACCTGGTTCTCCAAGAAGTGCATGTACCGGTAGAGCAGGGTGTAGGAGGGAGAGAGGATGCCCACGGACTTCATTCGTGCACCCCGCTCCAGCTCACTTTCCACGGGCATGTTGGCGAAGCAGGCCAGGCCGAAGAAAGGCCCCTTTCGAAAATAGCTAAAATAGACCAAAATATATAGTGGGGCTCAAAATCAGGAAGAGATTGTGTTTTGTTTTCTTTTGTTCTCTTTTTAAGATGCAATTCCAAACTAAATAAATTGTATCCAGAGCTCCAAATAACAAAGTTCAGCCTTAAAACAAGCCACTTGACCTCACAGAAGAGACAAAGCTCACAGGGATAGAAAACTCGCCAGCTGAGGGTCATCCAGCTGGAGTCAGGACATCTGGTGGGCTTGCTGCTCAATTGCCCATGACCATGGACACATGGACACAGTCCTGTCCCATCCTGACCAGAATGGGGCAGCCAGACCAAGATCCATCTCTAAGCCCCTCTGGAACTAGCTGCCTATTTTCTTGGCATAAACCATGATGATTCTTCTCTCACTTCCTGAGCCTCTGAAGTTTTCGATACTTCTGCCACTTTATTTTCTTCCCCTTTCTCACACTCCATCAGCTATGGTTTCAGTACAATGGGATTAAAGCTAAAAAATTACCCTTAAGGTCTTTCTGCTTGCTCTTCCTCACAAAACTCACAATGCACCAATTACACAGAACTAAAAACTGCCTTTACTTAAAGCTGGAATTCCAACTTTCCGCACCTAGATGTCTTAAGTTAATCGACACTAAGCTGAAAACCACATTAAGCAAGGTCCACATTATTTCTTAGCAAGTCAGAGATCCTCTATGGTAGAGGTTCTTACCTTTGGGGATCATGAAACCCACTGAGAACTTGATGAAAGCTAGAGACCTTATTGCTGGAAAACTAAGATGAGCACAAACTATGCATATATTTTCAGAACATTTATATACCCTACCTGAATACCCCATAAGAGCTCTTGTGCTCTGGAGAGTGTCAGGGGTGGGTGGAAGGAAATGATACAAGACCGAGGTTTGGAAGTACTTACATGAAGTCAGATTGAATTTTATGGGACCCACTGGCCATAGACTTGAATTCAACACCTTCAAGGTCAATGTCTTGAGGTAAGCACCATTCTACCATGTTTCCTGTGGGAAAAGGAGGATACAAGTTAAAAGAAACAAGATTATTCAAAGAAAAGGGCTTTATATGTACCACACATGGCTTCTCAAATATGTACAGCTGACTCAGCCTGGTACAGAGCCACACAGAGGCTCGTGGGTTTGTCTCATGCAGGACCCAATGGATTACCCCACAGGACCAGAGGATGGGCAGCAAGGGAACCCTATCTCTGCTTCATTTGAACAGTCTCTTTTGGCTGATTGTCTTGTGTTCCGCTATTTTTCTCAGCCACTTCCAGATCTCCCTCTCATGGCCTCACTTCTGCCCTCATTTCCTTATCTCATATGCTCCCTTAATCCCTCACGATCTTGTTTCCATCTCACCTTTCTTCAGACACTAATAACTTTGATGAGTCCCAAAACTCTGTTTTTAAAAAATCCTCATTCCCACTGACCTCTTTGTGGTATCTCTCAATTCTTAAAAGTTTCTCTCCTTTCCACTGATTTCCCAGACAGAATACTATTTTGGATCTTTCCCCACTCCTCTGATCAGTGTGGTTCTGCTTCCCTTCCTCTTTCTCCTCTCTCCCCAAATGTGGCCCTTCTTCAAGGGTCAACTGTCAATTCTTTGCTTCCAGAATTTGGGGACAAAGTCACTCATCATTAATTACTGAGATCAACTTTGGAGACACAAAATAGAACAAGACACAGCCCCTGATCATGAAGAGTCCAAAGACAAAGAAAAAAGGAAAGAGAAGGGTGAATGCTGTCACAGAAAGTAGAATTTCAGAATGCAGCAAGGACAAACGTCTGCCAGACTGAGGGAATCCAGAGAACGCCTTGGAATACTCCTTATTGTTTTCATGCCTATTCCAATTTTTTCAAAATAAAACACTAAGTTACTTGTGAGATTTTACTTCTGAACAAACTTCCTATTAACACTCCATACCCTAATTTTCTAGGCATCAAAAATGCCATCCATAATCCCAGTCAACAACAGTGTGTCAGGTACTTGTGTGAGGCATCAGAGAACACAGTCCGGCCTTCCCAGGCAGCAGACAGCCACAGGCGTATCCAGTCCCACTAGGCGTCTTCAAGTAGTTTATTTGCAAAGGAGGAATCCTGATTCCAGCCAACTAATGAATTCACTAAAACAAAAAGCTTGAAAAGGGAATAGAAATTTCCTAAAACAGAAAGACTAGAATAGTAGTGTGCTTGCCAAGGTTATGGACAAGAAAGAGTGGTAAGAGGGTAAGCCTGGGAACAACAGTAAGGATTTGAAGCACATTCCCTCACATTCCTGAATTCCTCTGCTTCCATCCATGTTTATTATGTACATAGTTCAGTGGGGCTTCCCCTGTGGAATGCATCAGGACAGCTGGGGAATTTAAGTGCCAGAGACCTTGCTGAGTTCTACAGAATCAATCTCTCCTTGCCCTGCCACACAGAAGATTCTGCTGATGTGTGCCAGAGGTGAGAATCCATGTGAGGGCCTCTTTCATCACAATGACAACACATGGCCAGCACGGAAGAGTGAAAACCCAGGACAGAGCCACCATGGCCCTCTATAGGTTCTGTCTTCCTTTTTCTCCACCAAGCTGTGTCTGCCAGTGCCCACTGCCTTTCCCTTCCCCGCTCCACAGGCTCGCACTTAGTTTTCTTTCTCCAACACAGCCTGTCCACAACTGCTCAACAGCCTGTAAAACTCTAATGTACATAAACTTTGTACTGAAGTGTAACAAGAGCACAAATTACAACTACACAACCCATTCGATTTACCTAAATTTAATTACAGCCCAGTTCAAGAAGCAGAAAGCACATTATCTGCATACCAAAGGCCCCCTCAGAGCCCTCCAAGTCATATTCTCTCTCAAGACCCTGACTTCATGAATTAGCTTTGTTCTTTTTGAAATTTCTATAAATGCAGTCATAGTTTTTCTGTCTTCTTTTGCTCAATATACTTGTAGGAGACACCCACCTTCATGCATGTGGCAACAATTTGTTCTTCTATGACTTCTGTCATATGCCTAGCAGTTCATCTACTTAACTGTTGATGCCCCTTTAGTTTATTTTCAGTTTAAATCTACTGCAACCAGCACTGCTGTGAACAAAATTCTGTACTTGTCATCTGGTGAATATATGGGTAGTATCTCTGTAAAGCACTAACCTGGTTATACTAAACTATACTCAGAATTCCCTACCTTGTATATTTCCAGTTGAGATTTGGAAGTCAGAAGTGAAACAGTAGCCAAGTTGTGTTCACATGAGTGTGGGAGCATCAGGCAGCTCACCTCCATTGTGGCTTGTCACAGGCTCAGCACAGAGGTGAGAGGCAGCAGCCAGGCCCGCCAATGCTAGATGCTCCTTCAGCTTCTCTGACTTCTAAGCTAGGTATTTTTTTTAACTCCATAATGAAGGACACCAGCTCTTCCTATAGGAAATCCACGTCTTGGAGTCTGACCCAGCCAGGTTCCTGTCCATCATAAGTTCCAGACATTCCCCTTTCCACCTTTTTGCCCTTCCTCCATGACTGTCTACTAAGTGGATCTCAAGCAGCATCTCAGAGACAAGACCACAGCTTTCACAGGCTGCCCACTAGCTCCCACTGTTCCACCGAACAATTCCTGCAGGAAATCCTTTTATGTTTCACCTCATTCTACTCCTCTGATTGACTGAACTTTGACTGAAACAACATGCACACATTTCTAAAAGCAGAACTGCTTTAAACTAAGGAAACTTCTATGATTCTTAAGCTTATGTTAATAGAGTTTCTGCAAAAAAAGAAAAAAAATTCAAAAGTTGTAAAGGGGATTTTTTTTAAACCAAATTATCTTTTTTGGGGGGTGGGTGGGTACCAGGGATTGAACTCAGGGGCACTCAATCACCGGGCCACATCCCTAGCCCTATTTTGTATTTTTTATTTAGAGACAGTGTCTCACGGAGCTGCTCAGTGCCTCCCTGTTGCTGAGGCTGGTTTGAATTCACAATCTTCCTGCCTAAAAAGCCCCCCAAACTGCTTGGGATTACAGGTGTGGTGTCACCACACCTGGCTTGACCAAATTATCTTAAGTGAAACAAAGATGGACTCATTTCTTTACTGTAAGGACTTCTCAGAGCCTTTAATATGCCATTCTATGTTGTGGATCTCAGTGAGATCAAAATATTGCTTAATGTTTCCCAAAATTATTTGGCTACTACACATGCTTTTATGGAGCATCTTAAGGGATTAATTTTATAGAAGGCATTTTTGTATTTTTATTTTTTTTAACAATTGCTAAGCTGCAAGCTGTCCTCAATATCCTCTCTACCTTTCTCATATGGACTAAAACTCACCGTTTTTATATTGGTTTATGGCCTCCCAAATGAAGACTGTTTCTCAGTACCTTCTTGCATGCAGGCTATGTGAGTAAATTCTAGCCAGCAGAATGTGGACAGAAGTATGTAGTTTCTAGACTGTGCCTGAAAGAGAAGAAGTTGCCCTTTTCTCCATTCTGCTGTCTGGAATGTGGACGTGGTGACATAGCATGGCAGAGAAGATGGAATCATAAGCCAAAATAAGCCCACATCACTGGATGACTCCGGGGGATCTGAGCCAGTATTCCACCCCTCCGCCAGCTACCTACAGTCACGTGAAAAAGAAATGAAATCCTATCTTGACTAAACCACAGTTAATTCGGATTACTGGCATTTATGGCCAAACCTATGTCCTACTTAATACAACTGACCTAGAGGATAAAATCCCCAACCCTTAGCTGGTTCTCAACGGCCTCCTTGTTCCTCTGTGCCTGATAAATCACAGAAATGGAAAGAACCCAAGGGAGGAAATGACATCCTGTTGGTTACAGGATGGACTTCTAGATGGGTTCAAGTCCCTCTGCGT